ATGGTTCTTTTAACAAATTATATCATAATTTTTTGCCTTTTATGTTTAATAAGTGAAATTTTATGAAGGAAAAGGAATTGAAGAAATGAAACAAAAAAAGGGCGAAATTCAAAAGTTTGGGGGACCAAGTTGTTACAATTCAATAGTTGAACTGGACCATGAATCGAAGATTGAAGAATTTGGACATATTTTGGAAAGTGAAGGACTTGAATTGAACCAAAGAATACACAAGTTACAAGAATAAAAGGGCTTAAGGACTAAAATTTATTATAATGAAAAATTGAGGACTTGAGGGGTAATATATCAAAAAAAAAAAAAAAAGGTAGAGTCCCTTTTAGAATCAAAACTGTGGGTGCTAGGTTTTATATATATATATAGATACGAAAAACGGCGAGGAGGGAGGCATCCAATTTGATATATTTCATCCAATATTTGGTGGCTACAATTTTTATCAGAGACACGCAGGAGAGAGGGGGCAGTTTTGGGAGGAGAGCCAATATCACATATCAACACACGACAACCAATTATATATAATTTTCCTATAGAATTGAGGCTGAATTTGGAGAGACACGCACAGAAAATCGAAGGAGAGAAAGGGAACACAATAGATTCAATTTTACAAGTTATTCACGTTCCGTCAATTTTCGGTGATGTCTTCCATAATTTCTTATTTTTCTTTCATTAATATGTGTAGTTAAATCTAATTTTAGGACAAACAATGTATCTATTTGAGACTTTTATTTGAAATTCTTGTTATTTTATATTTTATGTGTGAATTTTAATTATATTTTTAATACTTTGAATTTTCTGGCTAATTATTCAATGATTTTGTGAACAATAATTATGTAGAGATGTGGATTCTTGTTTAGACCACATAATAATTACCGCGGTCCTATAGAAATTCTTAGAACTGTTATTTTGTTTAATTAAATTTAATTTGCATAAATATGTGGAATTGAACTAATTAAATAGGCTCGACGAGAACTCGAGAGGGGTAAGTCGAATACAATAGAATAATTTGACCGAACACTACTTTAGTTTTATGAATCTCGATATTAGAAATAAAGGTGATCAATAGGTGAATTTGTTCTGTCCTAACCTCTATTTATTATTTGAATTCTCACTAATTTTCTGTTGCATTCAAGAAATTTTTAGTAGTTAGATTTAAAAATCATATTCAATCATTTTTTTCATTTATTTTCGTCAAATAAAAGTTAATAATAAATTGAATATTAAAGTGTAGTCTTCGTGGGAACGATAATCTGAAATCAAAAAGTCTACTTTACTACTTGTTATGATACGTCCACTTGCAGGATAAAATCGACAATAATCAATTTTAAATTCTTTAGTAATATTTAAAGAAAAAGCAAAACCCAAAAGCTAAAAGTTTTGCCCGGTGGCCTTCGAATTCTTTAACCAAATTCAACGACAACTAATGGTGGTGGGGTGTATGTTAATTAATGGTTATTTTGCACTGTATCCCTTTTCATTTGGGGTTCTAGTTGGATTAGTACTTGACTTATCAATCCTAACATCCTTGAAATCATGGGGGGGATACAAGGAGAGATGACCAGGCTACAACGCCTCAATACTTTTTGGTCAATTTGTCTTTAGTCTATTTTATCATGTGTTAAAAGTCTTAAATATCCTTCGTTTAAATGCCTCAAATGCCCAATTTGAAATCAAAATTTACCAAATTTCCAAACATAAATCATCATTCTCATTCATTTTTCATACCCAATTTAAAATTAACGATAAAACGACATGCTCCATTTTTAACGTTTGAGGGTCATTTTAACCAATGTCATGTTCATATAATTTTATGCTCTCATATTCACATAAAAATTAATGACGATAAATTTTAACTATATTTGATGTGAAATTGAAAGTCCATTACCCAAAATGACTTGTCCTGATAAACGGATAGGTGACGTGTTAATTGATTTCGTGTCTGTTTCACAATATACTCTTCCGTACCCACATAAAAATGAACATGGACAAGTTTGTACTATATTTAGAGTGAAATTGATACCTGCTAACCCAAAATGTCATGCTACCGCTTTAAATGTTTAGGTGTCATTTTACCTAATTTCGCATCCATTTCACTTTATTTTCACTCATTCGCACATGAAAATGAACGGATGAAAGTTTTCATTAAGTTTTGACCCCATTGTCGATATAAAGTTCACGCTATAATTACCAAAACTATCATTCCGGATGTAAACTACACCAAATTGAACTATGAATGAAGGTAAGTAATCAAAATTTCATTAGATTCTGATTATGAGATAAGATAACAAATTAGCTCATATAACTTGTATAAGTCTTCTAACATGTTCCAAGATTTAATTGACCGTTCTGGAGTGAAATTAAGACCTCATGACCGAAAACGGCATGATCATGCTTTAAATTGCTAGGTGTCATTTTCACTATTCAAGTTCGTTTCATTTTATGTTCAATTGTATGCTTGTAATATAACATAAATGAATGCATATTTTCACTACATTTGAATGTTAAGGTCAATATAAAAGTTCATCCAATAATGACCAACAGTAATATTGCATTAATAAATTATACTAAACTTCAACATGATCAAAAAGTAAATAACCCTAATTTCAATTATAAGATAAAATACTCAAAAAATTAACTCATTTAACTTGTATAACTCTTATAAGATATCACAAGATATGATCAGTTTAGGAGTGAAATCGATACCTCTTGACCCAAAACAACATCTGATCATTTTAAACGTATGATTGACGTTTCCATTGATTTAGTGTTCGTTTCGGTTCATTCACGCTAGTGACCACCTAAAATTTTTGGGGTGAAAGTTTTAACTACATTTCGACATTGCGGTCAACACATTTGTTCAAACTATAGTGAGTCACTCCATAATTTGGTAGGAAACTACACTATACTTGAAAATAAAGAAAAACGTAAGCAGCAAGTATGGTATTCAAAACATAGTACACGTAGTCGTTAAATGTGTACGAGTCATGTATGATATTTCAGAGCATATTTACTAGTTTCGAAGAGAAATCGATGCTCCATGACCCAAAACGGCATCTGATCCTTTTAAATGTACTGCTGACGTTTCTACTCATTTAGTGCCCGTTTCGGATCACTAACGCCCTTAACCATGTGAAAGTTTAGGAATGAAAGTTTTAACTATATTTCGACGTTGTGGTCAACACATTTCTTCAAACTATAGCGAGTCGCTTCATAATTCGATAAGAAATTACATAGCACGTGAAGTCGTTCAATGTGTACAAATCATATATGATGTTGAAAAGCATGATTTACTAGTTACGTAGTAAAATTGATAGCCCATGACCCAAAATGGCATCTGATCATTTTAAAAGTATAGTCGACATTTCTACTCATTTAGTATTTGTTTCGGTTCATTCACTCCCGTAACCATGTGAAAGTTTAGAGATGAAAGTTTTAACTACATTTCGACTTTGTGGTTGACTCATTTGTTCAAACTATAGTGAGTCATTTCATAGTCCAATAGGAAACTACACTCCACTAGACAACAAAGAAAAATGTAATAGCAAGTATGGTATCCAAACACATAGCTTGTGCAGTCGTTCAATGTGTATAAGTCATGTATGATAGTTCAAAGCATTTTTTATTAGTTTCAAAGTGAAATCGATATCCCATGAACCAAAATGGCATCCATTCTTGTTAAACGTATGACTGAAGTTTCCATTCATTTAATGTTCATTTCAGTTCATTCACATCTATCACCACATGAAAGTTTAGAGAAGAAAGTTTTAACTACATTTCAACATTACGGTTGATACATTTGTTCATGTCACTCCACAATCTAGTAGGAAACTACACTACACTTGACCATAAAGAAAAACGTAAGCAGCAAGTATTATATCCAAAACATAGCATGTGTAGTCGTTTAATGTGTATGGGTTATGTATGCTATTTCATAGCATGTTTTACTAATTTTGGAGTGAAATTGATACCCCATGACTCGAAATGGCATTCAATCATTTTAAATGTATGGCCAACATTTCTACTCACTTAACACTAATTTCAATTCATTCACGCCTGTAACCACGTGAAAGTTTTAACTATATGTTGATCTAGCGATCGACTCATTTGTACAAACTATAGTAAGTCACTCTATAATCTGGTAGGAAACTACGCTACACTTAACAAAGAAAAATGTAAGTAGCAAGTATGGTATCCAAAACATAACACATGTAAACGTTTAATGTGTACGAGTTATGTAAGATGTTTCAAAGTATGTTTTACTAGTTTCAGAGTGAAAACGATACCCCGTGACTCAAAACGACATCTGGTAACGTATGGTTGACGTTTCTACTAATTTGGTGTTCATTTCGATTTGTTCACGCCCATAACCATGTGAAAGTTTAGGGATCATTTTGACTTTGCAATCGACACAGTTGTTCAAACTATAGTGAGTCACTCCATAATCCGGTAAGAAACTATACTACACTTGACAATAAAGAAAAAAAATAGTAGCAATTATGGTATCTAAACCATAGCACGTATTGTCGTTCAATGTATACGAGTCATGTATGATGTTTCAAAGCATGCTTCATTAGTTTCAGAGTGAAATCGATGCCCCGTGACTCAAAATGGCATCTAGTCATTTTAAATGGAGGGTTGCCATTCAATGATTAGGTTTTAGGGTATAGGTAGCGGCGAGCTAGGGTGGCAGCCCTAGCTGGATCCATCGGGATGTTCAGACTGTAGGGAATGGAGTTGCAGACACGGCATGGACGGAGATGGAGGAAAACTGGACCCTGTCACCTGGGCCTTTTTTATTTTGTTGTTGGGCTGATTTTCTTCACAATGGGCCTATCGTTGCTTAAAAATCATAGGCCCAAATCAATTACCTAATGAATTGTCTTGGTCCATAAATCATAATCCATATAATTTCATTTTCCCTTCAACTCCAAATTTCATTTTCCCCCAAATCGTAAAACTATGAAAGCTGAAAGAGTGAAAGGTGATTGGGGGGATTGGCGAAGCTGAAGGAAGGGGTTGGCGACTGGGCGAACACGAGTGTGAGGAGGAGGAATCGTGACAGCAATGAACTCAGTGACGAAAATAAGAAAGGTAATAATGGTTTATTATCGCCTTCTTCTGGAGGGTCAATTTGTGATTAAATG